AAACTAAACAAAATGCGTCCGAAATTATGTAAAAAATTGCCATTGTATAGATAAATGTGATTCATAGTTTGGCTGATTATTTTACTGTTCTCGGTTTGTCTATTCTTTCCAAATACGTTTGGTAACCAGGGAGTTTGAATAAAACTTGTATGATTGTCTGACTTCTTTGCCCAATCGGACTTCTATTTTGTGAAGTCGCCATGTTCCTGAATCTCAACAATTAACTTGCTGAATACAGTTTTATACTAGAAAAAATGGCCAAAGCTAAAAGATAAGTTGCAAAACATTGACTTGCTGCCTCATTTACTACCTGAACTCCCAAACCTTCTAATTATTCCACAGAGGTGCGAAGACCCCCACTGGTCCGTCAGTGAAGTCGTCAGCTACTGCAGGTGGACCTCTGGCACCACCGAGTCCTGACCGTTCATCTCATTCCTGCTCCCCCCCTTCACAACGTTTGATGGGAGCAACGACAATACAAGAACAGAGATGAGAGAGGATCATATGAGTAGGCAAATCCAGGGGCCATGAAGGGGATTTCACAGCTCAATAAGTTTGGACAATTTGTTTACAATCCCCATTATTGCGGGCCCCTTTGGGGAGTAGGTGTATATAAATATTGATGCATTTCAGATACCAGCAGATTAGCTGGGAGTTTGGTCCACTCTGGAGAAGGATGTAAAAGGACCTAAAGGGCGAGAAAAAGTACCACAGGGGGTGAAAAGAAGAAGGATGAGGATGAAGGAAGCGCGAGTGAGAGTTAGCGAGGTCACACGCACACACACTAGACACACACACACACACACACCGACCTCCTGCAGACAAAGCCTCCACAGGCTCATCTGGGCAGTGCTGCTGGCCCTCAGGGACACACCTCCAAGAGAGATGGACTGACTAACTCTCCATGGCAACTAATCAATAAGTGACAGAGTCAGTCAGGACTGACCCGGAGCCCAGTGCGCTCCACCTCCCCCCACGTTCCCAGGGTTACACTCCCATAAACCACACACACACACACACACACACACACACACACAGAGACTGGGCTACACTTAAAAAATAAAGTGCCATCAAACTGACCAGTTCCCAAATAAATCGTTCCTCCTTGGTTTGGTGCATTTAACGAAATACAATTGTTTACCATTGTTTTTGTTTTGGAGTGTGTGTATGTGTGTGTGTGTGTGTGTGTGTGTGTGTGTGTGTGTGTGTGTGTGTATGTGTGTTTTGCGCACACAAACATGAGTACAGGTTACTGAATGAACACAGCTCCTGACAATAGCGATATGATCAGACCACACTACCATTGTGTATCTGTCAATCTGTGTTCCCTCTCACTGTCCTCGACAAACACTAATCAATATCTGTGGCCTAGATGAGAGGCCTAATCTTCCCCCTTGACACCCCCTTAAATCTTTACCCCCCCAACTCTGCATTGTCTTGCAGCAGTCCCACATTCACTTCGCTGTCCCCTAGGCAGAGTATATACATCAGCACATATACACTTGGCCCCATTTTTCTAGGCTTCCAAGACAGGTCAGAAGTGGGATGTGGCAAATTAAAAGCAACGCTATGCTCCAGTGTCCATAGACAAAGTGATGTGCTCTTCAGAAAGGCACCATCTGCAGCAGACACACTTTTACACACTAGAGTTTCTCCCTCGGTGCCTGAGCTTTACTTAACGTGCATTAACAGAACCAACGATTTGTATGTAATTGCCCTTACAGGTTATTCAGGAAGAGGCCTCCTAATCCAGTTTCATTCTTGGTTGTGTGCTCACGTACATGTGCGTGTGTGGTTTTACACATATTCCTCAACAATTACAAGCAACAACAAGTTCAAGTAAACCTCAGCGGTGCTTAGATGAACAAAAAACACCAAAAGGATCCTCTCCGGATAAACTCTCTAAACATACAACCCGGGCAGCAAAAGAAAACAGAATTCACCCATTTCAGCTGTTCGTGTGATTTGTATTTGTTTTGTTTGGGACAAAAGAGGCGGTAATCCTGTCTCATATTTGACAAGTCTCATATTCACACACACCTGCTGGGACAAAGTAAACACACCTTCAGAGTCAGACACCTTAATGGATGACCCTCGAATTACAACCTAAGTCAGGATAAACCCTAAAGCAGGCATGTTGACATGATCTGGTAAAGAGACATGCCCATTCCGGATATGAATGATGAGAAGTCGCCACATCACAGCTAACGCATGTGTGTGTGCAGTGTATACAGTATGTACATAGCACAAACAACATTGTGGCCACGGTGCTTGGCGATTTGTCCTCTACCCAGTTTTAACAATTTAACGTAGATTTTTGGTTGTCATTCACAAGAACAATAAAACTCCCTCTTTACTTGCTTTCTATTTATTAACAACATTGCGGTCAACAGACATGAAAGCAACCTGAAGAAGAGAGGACAGTATGCAGGGGTTTTGTTGTTCCATATTGTCGGCCGTTGGTATTTTCCTGAGAACCTGTCGACCTACAGGTGTGCAGACGTTTGCTTTTTCGGTTTTAATTCAGTGAATTTAAAAAGGTTCGACTTGGACTGATATCCTCCTCCATGCTTTGTAACACAGGTGTTCCTGACATACCTGTCAACAGAGATCTCCTGTATCAGATCAAAAGCAAAAGCTGTGGCTGATGCAGGAAAAATAAATCAGAATTCATTGTTTTTAAACTTCACATGTAACTTCGCACCCTCAATGAATTCTTTACCTACCCTACTCTATAGCAGCTCGGGTGCCTGAAAGTCTATAAGGCCTAAATTCAACTACTTTACTCTCAGCTGACGTAAACACAAGCAACGATATGCTGGGTGCATGCAGGTTCTTGAGCGGTGGCGTGCTTGCCTTTGAAGCGTTTTCCTCTCAGCATTCCTTGTGGTTGTGTAAGGCATGACGATCCGACCACAGTTATCATTAATGAGCCATTTGCATCACGGAACAAGTCTGTTGGTGCTCACATGCGTTCAGGCAAGGAGCTGAAAATTGGGGATGTACTTGAAAGAGCAGAGGTATATATCAAAAAAAAAGTGTCAAATGTGGTTTTCTAGTGTCTTTGGTGAGTGCTGTCAGTGAATTAGTGAGTGAGTGGGTGGGTGAGTGAATGGAGAGGGGATTGAGAGGACGGTGCAGTGGAGAGGGATGGCTCTCAGTGGGTCAGCCCGAAAGCCCTGACCCCAGGAGGATTTGATGCCATTTTCCCACGCAGGGAGTCGACCTGAGAGGAGCTCGTTAACAACATCTGCCCCAGTTCAGGGAGATTAACCCCCACCCCCAACCCCCGTACCTCTACAAACTTGCGCATACACACCGCTCTGCTGTCAATCTCAGTACCTCACACGAGTCACACCGCTCTGGACAGGCCACTCTATGGCCCTCCGGGCTCGCCTCAAAGGGCCTCCTGGAGATCCCAGCCACAGCAAATCAATACAGCGTGACTGTCATAGGTGCAGTCCCTAACCATCATCCGACTGTACTCATCCGTTACACTCAAACTATGCTGTAGGTGACGTCTCATCTGCACATCAGAGGAGGTTCCAGATTTGACTGTGCGATTAAGTGTAGACTTGGGTGTTTGTTCAGAAGGTGTGTTCCTGCTGGAAGTTGCCCATCCAGTCGGGCCGGCGAGTTGGTGATGTCACAAACGTCAGTCTGCCAGCCAGATTTGTTGAGAGTTTTCCACTCATCATGCCGACGTAAAAAGAGACGCTCAAAACGAGCTCTTGTTGGTTTTAACCACCTTGTTCACATGTACTCCCACAAGACATGCGACTGGCAGGACATGTTCTGACATAATAAGAGGAGACATGTGAAAAACAGGATCGACTGAAACGTGGCCTGGAGCACTGCCGCTGCTAAGCTGGAGCCTTGCATGCACTGCACACATGCAGAGGTGCGCGTAGACACACACACACACACACACACACACACACACACACAGTGGCAGAATCCACTGGGAATCCGCTGAATCCATGTTCTACAGGGCTATAATTAGGTTAGTTTTTGGAGAGGGGGTTAAACAAACAGGGGCTGTGAGGTCATAGGCAGATGGAAGTGGGATATGCCTGCACTTGCTGAGTGGGCACAGAGCTCCACATGACAGGAGAGAGAGGCCCTCCGGGCGCTCGGCGGGG